TAGATGAATATGCACACGGGAAATATACCCATTTTGTTGATCACACCACGTACTTCCGGACCGCGTTCGAGTTATTCAGCTCCGCCCAGTTAGTAGGATGTTAACATTCTGCAACTGAATTCGTGTGTGTATAAGGTCCATTTCTGATTTCGACCTGGTAAATGTGCGGCGTGTCTTGCAGGCAGCCTGCCGCCGAGTCGTGTGAAGCTAGGTCAACCACGTGATTACCGTCTCCACACATTTTTGCCCTCACATGTCCGCGGAGTGAGGCCAGTCGGAATCAAAGACCGCAACCATTTACTCTCAAGGAAAAATGTGGGGTAATCGAGCTAAATCCATGACCTTCCATCACTTTGACCTTCGAGAACCTTGCATTCTAGACCGTCGCCTGAGACGTGGACAGCAGCACACTGGCGTGTCTACTAGCAACACTTCAGGCGGCCGTAAAGACTTATCAGAGGTGGCGTTGACCTCGGCTGACGCTTTGACCTCGGCTCACGCTGACGCTGAGCCATTTACGCATCTTGTTCAGTGGTTCGAAATATAACTGGTCTTAGGCTACTTCCACGTCTTCCTGGGCTGGTCTGTAGCGTGACGTTCATCTCGAATAATTTAGATCAGGTCACCAGTACTGAGGATCTCTCTTACGTATCCTCTCCACTGCTTCGGAACCAGTGTACAAGGTTTTGTACAGGCCCAGTCAAGGACGCATCGCCGAACGCTGAGCATCACGTCTTTTTAACTCGAGCTGAATGTACATTGCATGTGGCTGGCTCGCCTTCTGTGTGCAAGCTTGCCGGAGTAATGCAGAACATAGGCATGTCCGTAAACATTTACCCATTACAAAACACGGACTTTAAGATGCTGCGGTGAGCTACGTTCTGTTACGGATCAAAGACGTTTCCTCGGCCAACCACGTCAGCTTGCACCTCATAGGCGTTTATTCCATTTGGATTTCAGCATGCCTTCGGCCGATGCATGACATTGCTGTGGGTAGGGTGACAGTCACACTATGCAGTCACTCTTACTTTTTATCTTACTCATTAATTATACACTGTTAATGTTGACATTAACATTCGAAGTTAAGTTGACTACAGCGGCATAAAGCTGACATCAATGTCGATTTGATCTGGCTGATAAGATATGACACATGTCTTCAGCACGGTCCCAAAGCGGTAAAGTGACGGTTCCTGCTGGCGTGCGAATAATGGACCGCATACAAACACGGACGCTAGAAAGCAAAATTGTGCAGTCCAAGACAACAGGAACAAATGCGTATATTCTCGCACGTTATTCCGAGGCTTGTGACTGCTGCTCTCCCATGGCACGGCTCTCTTCCAGACCAGTAATTATCGCCAGATGTTGGTGGACCCCGGTGCTTCCACACATAATCCTGTCGTGCCCAAGTTTTGCCTACATAATGAAATTTGCTGACTGCACGCTCATCAAACCGCCATCACGCCACCACCCCGGATTACCTGTGAAACAAAATGAGCCCACTAAATAAAAGTGAATGTCGTGAACAGGGGCAGCACGGTGGTAAATATTATTGCCGTCATTAGCACCTGGGCCATTAGATGATTTGCAATTTTGTAATCCATCATATATCCCTTACGCGCGCGACGTTCATTTATAGCGCATTATCCACCCAAGCGAAAACAAAGTTACCCAGATGCCTTGGGTTGATCACCATGGTAACCGGGAGATAGCGGGGCTTAGAGCCGAGACGACGCCACTTCCTGTGACCAATCACAGGATTATTCGTCATGCTTTAGACACGGGAGCGCAACCCTCTGGTGCAGCCTTTCCTAAATGAAATGACTCCTTTACTGGAAATTTCCACCATGTGGAAATTTAAATCCCACGGGCCCCAATCATTATCCAGTCATAGAGAGGTCAGATCCAGCGTTAGCCGACTTTTTGGGGGCGCAACGTTGAGTGTCGCACAACAGCACAAATCACGGCAGGACTATCCGCAGTAGCAGCCGACAGCAGAAATCGATGCCGCTGGACTGGCAGTGTTAGCAGCATTGTTTTCATAACAACCAATCCGACGGGGGTCAGTCGTCATAATCTAAGGACGATTTTTCATAGTTCGTACTAATAGCTGGAAAGTTAATATCGTGGGTTGTTTTGCCTTCATGATAATAGGCTAAAATAAATCGAGACCTCCATGCAAACATCAGAGCTCACATTAACGCCACCTATACTGGCAGTAAGGCACTGCCAGTGCACGCCGAAACCTAATTAGACCACTTGATGGAACATTTTGGTGTATCGTTATCGTTACCATCGGCGGCTTATACGTGGCCGAAGTGCATTTTTCTAATGAAGTTTACAATTCAGATGAACAATTATTTATACTTATATATTTTCATATTTATCATTGTTCGCATTTATATTATTTACATTTATATATTATACAATTATGTATATCTATATCTTATATCAGAGGAACAATGACGATAACAATTCAGCCTGTCAGATGAGCATAATTTATCTGCAAAGCTGTTGCACAATGCCGACTTTCACAGCCGGAATGTGGCAAACAAAAAATCACACACAACAGCAATATTAAACTACCGACAATAAACTCGAACCGCTATACGTACTTTGTCGATATGTTTTGCGCGACCCTGTGTGGATGCTGACATGAATTGGCTCTCATGTCAGCAAACTCCGGGTGTAAATTTAGAAGTCACCCAAAACTCCAATTTCTGAAGAGTCCACGCTGTTGTCCATCGGCAGGTCACCATTTGGACCCCGGAGGGCAGGCGAAGAATCGTTTCTGGATGGTGTCAAGTGCAACACAAACACTCAAAACTCGCATCAAATCGAAGTTCACACGGGCCTGAATTGATGCGGAACAATCAACCGCACAACTGAATTATCTCCCGCCCAGGCGTCTCGTCAGTGTATCGGAAAACAAACAAAAATACGCATAAACAAACATATGCACCTGAACATATACCTAGTCATCAATGATCATATCCCTATACACACATGGGCACGCATGCGCACGGACGGGCACGAGCAGAATGTCATCTCAAATCGCATTTGCATGCCGTTCTGTCTTGGGAAATGCTCTTGCAATTCATTTACACATATTGCATTGCTAAATAACCACCGTCTCTATCGGAGAGAGGTGCGCAATGATATGCGCCCATCATTATCCAGTCACAGAGAGGTCACATCCAGCGTTAGCCAGCTTCCTGGGGGCGCCACGTTGAGTGTCGCGTAAGAGCACAAATCACGGCAGGACTAACCGCAGCGGCAGCCACGTGGAGAAATCAATGCCACTGGTCTGGCAGTGTTAGCAGCATTGTCTTCATAACAACCAATCCGACGTGGGTCAATACCGCCACAGTCTAGGCGCCGTGAGCGAAGCGGCGTTCAGTGGCAGCATTCCAGCCCGTGTTGGACAGGCGGCCCTGAGGACCCCCGCAGTTGGCTTCGCGCCAACTTGAAACTGATGAGCGGAGATAAGCGCCCGCCCTACCTCCTTAGAATTGAATGGCGTCAGATAACAAGCGAGGAATCTTAAATTAGCGCAAGTAATTAGGAAAAACGTTGAAGGCTTCGTCTTCGCACCGGATGTCAATGGAATATCATATTCATGGATTCATTATCAGATCCATGAATCATCTGCGGTTTTGCTTTTACTCCGAGCGTGATTCACAGCCAACGGATATTGGGGCTGAATTCCGCAAACATGGCAGCTTCAAAGCCACCACCCGTCCAAGACCGCGAAGAAGCGATCTTCTCGCCCAGGAACTTGCAATGACAGAACCGATTTCAGGTAAATAAAGCAGCATGGCTTAGGCATTATTAGGCTTGTGCGGAAGACATCTAATGGTGTTTAGACGGCTCCTAACAAGGCATTTCTACATTCGCCAAATAGCGAAGTCGCTGAGCGGATTACTATGAGCACCTGCTCTCGCTTCGCAGAGATGCTGCCTGTGGAAATGCGATGAATATTGCAGTAAGTGGTGTCTCGTGCTTTTATCGGATGGTCACAGATCAGGGTTATGTACCAGGCGGATCGTTCTGGTCTGGAAAGTGAGGACCAGCTGCAATGCAACTGCAACGATATCAGGGACGCCACGTAGGCTTATCACGTGACATGTAACGTAAGTCAAAGCATGCGTCGGCCGACCACGACGGGTTTCGTCATAAAATGCATTACGGAATGATCCTCCGCCTATCAACGTCCGCAGTTGACACATGTTAAGACGTTAAGATGTAGGAGCGGATTGCGTTATACTCGGCATGTAGCGGCAACGGCAGGTCACCGATTCCACGCAGGCACCGCGTGCGGGTCGCCCCGTCGGTGCTGGAGTTCGGCCGGCTGACCTGCCGTACCGACAGCGTGTGACATGGTCAACGGCGCCACTTTGTGGCAATTCGTGACCAGCTTGTGACAACATGACGCAAACTGCACTCCAACACTGATACGCGTCGTTTATTTTCTCCTCAACGACGTTCTCCGCGATACACTCGCCCGCTCCGAACAGCCCAGCCTGCAAAGCACGCAACAGACGGCTGACTGCCATCAGACCGTGATTCATCGGTCGAAAACGCGCACACGTGGCAAACAACTGCGGCACACCTCATCCACAGGTGATGTTCGCAATGATCGAAGGAACACCGCGGCTGCCCTTCGTGTCCGCCCTCGAACATCCCAGAAGCACCACTGCGCATGCCACCCAGTGGGGCACCTCCTACGCGGCGAGCGCGGACGAGCGAGCGTGTTCGCCGCAGTCTCGCGGGGGGGGGGGGGGGGCGGCGCAGCGGCCGCCGCGCTGGACCCGCTGTCGGCGGGTGCCGAGCGCGGCGTGCCGAGCCCGGCGTGGCGAGCGCGGCGTGCCGAGCGCGGCGTGCCGAGCGCGGCGTGCCGAGTCCGGCGTGGCGAGCGCGGCGTGGCGAGCGCGGCGTGCCGAGCACGGCGTGCCGAGCCCGGCGTGGCGAGCGCGGCGTGCCGAGCCCGGCGGCGGCTGGCGCTACGAGCGCAGCAGGCGCTCCAGCTCAGCCTGGTGGGTCTTCAGCTGGTCGGCCAGCTCGCGGGCGTCCAGCGCCGGGCTGGCGTTCAGGTCGTTGACGTAGGCGGCCATCAGGTCCAGGCAGGTGGTGGCGAAGGCGCGTCTGCGGCAGCGGACAGCGCGACGGTCACGAGGCGCAGCCGGGCGGCGGCCCCGGCCCAAGAGGGCGGCGTCATCGGCTGGCCGGCTATACATCCACGCAGGGCAAACAGCGACGTGCACCTGCACGCCAGCAGTTTACGGCTACTTTTCCCGGTTACAAGGACAGCCCCATCGATTTCGCCCGAGAAGAAAGGAACGAGACCTCAGGAGGACGGAACAGGGCGGGGCAGGACGGGGCGTTAGGGTGTGGCGGGTCAGAGCGCAACAGAGCGGGGCGGGGAAGGGCGGGGTGCGTTGTGGTGACCTGTATCTTTGGACTCTGGCCGGCGACGATAACGAGCGCGCTCAGACCCGACGAGCAGGTCGTAGCCCAGATACGGACAGTCGGCGTAGCGCGCGACACGGCAACAGCTGACCGCGCAGACCACCCAGCGGCCGCGGCGTCACGAAGACAGCAGCCGCGCCATGGTTGACTACAACGGCTCCTACACGCTGGTGTCGTCCGACAACTTCGACGAGTTCCTCAAGGCCATGGGCGCCAGCGCGGTGATGCGAACGGCGGCGCAGGTGGGCAAGCCGACCATCCACGTGTCGGTCAGCGGCGACCACTGGAAGCTGCGCCAGACCACCAAGCTGAGCTCCACCAGCATGGAGTTTGACGTGGGCGTGCCGCGCCACCTCAGCGCGCCCGGCGGCGCGTCCGTGACCAGCGTCATCACCAAGGAGCGCGACCGGCTGATCGAAAAGCGCACCGGTGCCGACAAGAACCCGGAGACGGTGCGCGAGTTCACCGGCTCCCAGCTCAAGGTCACGCTCAAAGTGGACGATGTCGTGTGCGTGCGCGTGTTCCAGAAACAGTGACCGGTGTCCGGCTGCATGGATCCGCGCCCAGGCTGAGAATGAAACCAGGCTCATCCTGCCAAAGACTTGCACTGTGTCTTAAATCAGAAGCTGATGATGACGGTGACACGCAACCAAACGCATTCAGATGTCTGCACTGGTGGCCTGTTCCAGTCAGCTGGTACTAACAAATCCATATCGAATCGCTGAACCGATCTTCTCCAAGCGCACCCCACGCAGCCTGTGCTATGTGTTGAAACATGGCACGTGTACCGACGTGCTGAAAGCATAGTGGTAGGTAAGTAAATACTGACTATTACGTTACATGCAAATATAGAACCGTCCTTACGTAATGTACGTCTACCGATATCCCGCAGAAGATCCAGGCCAAGCAAGCATAGTGGGGGCGGGCTTCCTCTTCTTAAGCACTCCCCCAATGTGCAAAAACGACAAGAACTCGAGCAAAGGTCCTGCCGACACGCCGAGCCGCGTCTGTGCGCGTCGCAAGCTGCACGGGAGCACGGCCTCCGTGCGCAGAACACCGCCAGTCACCTGCCCACCGCCTCGCGCACTCAGCCGCCCACGTTTTCCCGACGTGGTCGGCGCGGGCGACTGGCACCTGCCAGGGAGTGAGCACGCTTCGGCCACGCCTCCTTCATAGCCCGCCACGCCCGAGCCCTCGCCGCGTGAGCTGCACCGCCAAGCGACGCCCCTGAGAACGGCGTCCGGCCGCTGGCCGACGCCGACGGGACTGACCAGCGATGACGTCAGCTGGCGACGCGCCCGCACTAAGCGCCGAAAACTTGATAAGCGTCCGGCTGGTGTCAATCGCTGTTGAGCACCGCCGCCTTGCCTGTTCTCGTCGGCGTCGAGCGAGCGCAGGGAGGGACGGTGCCACAGTCAAATAAGCCAGCGAGAGTGAGGCGGTCGGCGGCCTGCAGTCGGCGCTGAGCGAGCACGGGGAGGGACGGTACCACAGTCAAACAAGCCAGCGAGAGTGAGGCGGCCGGCCGCGCGCAGTCGGCACCCAGCCTCGACAACGACGCGGGCGTGGTGCTCACCGGCGCAGGTCACCTGTGGCTTCTGGGGGACGCGGCCGTCACACCACCAACGCCTCAGCCGTCAGCGGCGGCCAATGGCCCAAGACGGCCGCAGCCACAGCCACCACAGAAGTACACGAGCGAGCTGAACCTGAACCTGCCGCGCCCGTCCATCCTACCAGAGGGCGGCATCGTGACTAGAAACGTGTCAGAAGGGGCAACCGGCCCACCGAGAAGCACGAGAACGAGGCGGCCCGACGTCGCGCCTCCCTGGGGTCCACTGACGCACAGGTGGCGCTCGTCACCGGAGGTGGGGGCGTCATGCCCGCGGGAAGCCACAGGATAAAGCCGCCGGCCCATCTGGACAAGGAGCTTGACCGTGCGCGTCCCAGACATGGCCGGAGAGGGAGGGACAGACAGCAGCCGCTCACATACCGCCACCGAGCTTTCCTCCGTAAGACTCCATGCCGAACCTATACCTTCTTGTACGGGAATGCTGTAGTTATATTTGTTATATTCATATTGCATATATATATATATATATATATATATATATATATATATATATATATATGTATGTATTATATATCACCTTCTTTGTCACATCCATGGCGACGCCAACACTACCTGGGAGAAGCTGAGACGGAAACACGCTTTCACTCTCTTGAGATCAGTCTTACGGTGAGCATTGAAAAAACAGCTCTGAACATAAGCCCTGTAGTGAAACCACGACAGTTTATCTTAAAAAGCGTTAAGAAATACGGGTATGGTGCGACGAACATGAATGCTTGATTCGGCTCGATGATATCTGGGAAGACCGTATAATTTCGCTGTGCAGCACAAATGCGGAAGAGTGAAGGCGACAGTGCCCTTGGGTTTTAAATGAAGTTTTTGCTTAATCTTTTTCACTCGTCATTTTGAGCCGGCAGCCTCAAATGTTGAGCGTTGACTATATAAACAATGTTTGCTTGATAACGTCGTATAACCAGTGCATCCTGTGATATTAAGGGCAAACAAACGTTCAGCACCAGAACACTTAGAGCCATGCAGTGATGGGCACAATTAACGTTGAACTTTCTTGAAAAGTTGACTGAAACAAAGCTTGATCCAAGATATGCCGTCTGCTACCGTTTTTTCCGGCATTATCAGCTCCGAGTTTGTAAGCTGAGTTACAGACCTCCAATACCGCAGGAGGCACTGGTCAAACGACACCACTTGCGCCGCTCACCACATTGTGCACACACTGGTAACTTTGCCGGCACCTGGATTTGCAAAGCCGGACTTGTGCTTATCTCGTTTAAACAGTATCTCCTGGAAGATTAGAAGCGGATACACCAGCATGAGCATGAACTCCTAATGCCTAAACAAGACGGTAACCACCCAAAAAATCGTTGCATTTTAGTCACCTATTTAGTAAACTAAGTCATCTATAAAGTCAGAGCGATCAGACAACCGTCGACATGTTCGTCAACTGGCCCAAAAGCTGCGAGGACCTGAAACTGCTTCATCTCAGCTCTATGCAACGAAATGGTGAAACGTAACCTCACCCCTGCACCAAAGCACGGGTGATGCTGCAAACAGGGCAAACTGTTCCAAGAAGCTCCAGTAAACAGTAGGCACCTAGAGTAAGTGGTTAGTAAGAAAAGAGGGTAAGCAGAGGGTACCTAAATTTTTAACATATCAGCTGTAATTTTCTACCTCTTTCAACTCCCCTGCTATATGTGCGTTGGCATGCAATGTTGGTTTGGAAAACAATCACATGTAGGCGCACTCAGTGAACAATAGATCATGCAATCAATAGAACTTGGCATATTAAAGTCACCTTAAATTTCAAGAAAATGTAGGCTAGGACCTCACATACCCAGTATTCAACGCCATCCAATTAATGTTTCATGGCTTGAGCTTTGTAGGCAGTCTGGAATTAAAAGACAACCTGCAAATCTTGTGGAATTTCTTTCAGTATCAATCGGGCGTAGCCTTCTTTGTGCCGAGCCTTGCTTTCCGCACGCTACGTTCGAAAACAGGCGGAGACGGGGTGCCAAGCCGGCGGGCCCCAAAAGCTGCACCTCTATGAAGACCACGGGACTCGTCTGCGGGCGCGGCGGCGGTGGCGGCGCGCCGGTGTGTGTGTGCGTGTGCGTGTGCGTGTGCGTGTGCGTGTGTGTGTGTGTGTGTGTGTGTGTGTGTTGCGTGCGTGCGTGCGTGCGTGCGTGCGTGCGTGCGTGCGTGCGTGCGTGTGTGTCGGCGCCCCGGGCCGGACCGGTACCTCTCGCGCGCGGGCACGCCGCTCGGCCAGCGGCTGAAACCGGCCACGATCCGGCAGATGGCGTGCAGCAGGTGCAGGGGACTCTCCCTCCACGCGTCGTCCTTCTGCCGGTACAGCGACTGCAACACACCGACACGTACGCCGTCACGCGGCCGCGCTGCACGGCACGCCGGGTCCAGTCAGCCCCGCCAGTGGAGCACACCACACCACACCACACACACACACACACACGTGACACGTGACAGGGGGTTGGCGACCTCTCGGGACTGCTCGGCACGCCAGCGCCGATACCGCAGCGCACCTGAGACGCGTACCCAGATTGAAGCCAACCACACAGCTCATGATCGTGATACTGGTTGGGGTTTTAGGGCGTGCAGGCTACTAAGGTCATCTTGCGCCCACTGACCACACAGCTTATGGTCGTGATACTGATTGGAGTTTTAGGGCGTGCAGGCTACTAAGGTCATCTTGCGCCCACTGACCACACAGCGTTCGACTGTGCGTGCGTGCGTGCGTGCGTGCGTGCGTGCGTGCGTGCGTGCGTGCGTGCGTGCGTGCGTGCGTGCGCGCGCGCGTGCGGCCCGACGCACCTGATAGACGGCAAGCAGCTGCGGCAGCGGCACGCCGGCCTGGGCCAGCGCGGCGGCTGCCCAGCCGGGCGAGGGGTCCCTCCAGTAGCGGCACGAGTGCACCTCCAGCTCGTGCACGATCGTCTCCAGCGGGAAGTAGGCCGGCTGGCCGCTGTAGGTGCGCGCCAGCTCGACGACGGCGGGCGCGGCCGCCTCGGCCTCGGCAGCGCCGGCCGCCTTCAGCTCGGCGCGTAGCAGGCCGGTCCAGAGGGCGCGCACCAGCGCCGGGTCGCGGTGGCCGGCGCACACCACCACCGCCAGCTGGCCGCGGTGCAGGCCCAGCTGGCTGCACATCTCGTACAGCGCCGTCACGTCCAGCAGGCCGGCGTTCAGCGCCTTCGACTCGGCCGCGCGGCCGCGCACCGCCTCCAGCACCATGCGCTGCACGCGCGCCACCTGCGCCGCCGGCGCACGGTCAGACAACAAGCCATGGAGCTGGCGACACGCCGGCCGCTCACCAGTCGCACGTGTACAGCTGACACCCCTGGTCTTCCTATACATAAATGTGTAAGTTTTCATGGCTTCATCATTATAACATTTATACGATATAATGTATAGCCTTTTTAATTACGAGGTGGTCAAAGTCTACCTTGCCGGTTAACATGCAAGTATGAGTGACGAAACATTCATTGCAGAAATATGCACTCCGAAAAAACTACCACTGTCCTCAACAGATTTCTTAAAAAAACAACTATGAATAGAAATCATACTAGACTTGCATCTGCAATATATATATATATATATATATATATATATATATATATATATATATATATATATCGCTTTGGGTAAATCATAGCTTATAGTTCTACACTGTCCTAAATATTACAATTGTTACACATACGAATAATCGTTTTACATGTAGCGAGTATAAAGTGTGAATGGAGCATAGAGCGAAGTCCGTGACATCATATTTAAGTTGAACAGAGTACACGGAAGAAATAAATTGAAAAAATCATCAAAGGACACTAGAAAATTAAATATAAACTGCATATAAAGCCAATGAACAGGCCCTCCTCGAAATCCTTAAGACCAACGCCATTCTGCTCAACAATAACGACCGATTTCAACTCGAATATTTAACACTAATGTGTTCACCATGATCACGGCAAACAGCCAAACCGACGGCAAACAACTAAAACATGCTTATGTGACCTATTCATGGAAATGCCCGAACGCAAACTGTAGGCTGCTTGACATTAGCAGCACTGACGTGACAGGCCCATCATCATGTTCAAAGAAAAGTCTGCCTCCTAAATTCATAAATATGTGCGAAATATATATATATATATATATATATATATATATATATATATATATATATATATAATCACACAACCTAACAGATGGTCACGCTATCAACAATGATAACACACAAGCACACTGTTAAAGTATCATGATAACGGTCCCATTTCTCAAGAGCAAAAACAAAAGCGACACATATTCCCCACAAGGGCGCAACAGAGCTGCACAGCACACATCGCTGTACGACACCGCGAGTCACGGGGAGCGCGGCTATCTCGTCAGCATCGTCATCCTGCGGCACCACCCACCTCCATCTTCTCTTCGAGCTCGTGCAGAAACTCGCCCTGGCTGGCGGCCGCCGAGACCTGCATCTGACTGGACTTGACACACAGAATCGCCCGGGCCAGGTACTCGATCCGCTGCTCCAGGCTCACGTCCGACCTGTGCCCGACCATGTCCATCATGACGTTCATCATCACGCCCGTCATGGCGTCCCTCGTCACAGCGGACGACGGTCTCGAAACAGGTGAATGCGCCGGTTGGGGGGGGGGGGGGGAGGGGGAGAGGGGGGAGGAGCATGACGCGCCTGCAGCTTTATCCACATCCCATTGCATCACTGGTCGGAAGGGGGAGGGGGTCCTGCCACGCCACGTCACGTCAACAACACATGACAGGTCACATGCCATATCACGTCACAAACATAGCTTTTGAAGAGTCCTAGCCCCCACAACAAGCATCCAACAACAGCTTGGCGCTACGCCCGCGAAGCAGGCCGCTCCGCACCGGGGCGTCGAGGAGCGGCGCGCGAGGCGGCGCCACGCTCGACTCACCCGTCACGCTCGGCTAGCTTGGCCAGGACCTTGGCGGTGGCCAGGTGCTGGCTGTTCATCTCGTAGTATTTCCAGAGCAGGTCCAGGGTGTCCACGCTGGTAGGGGCGCCCGAGACGCGCGTCAGGAAGGGCTCGATGTAGCGCGACTTCACCTGGAGGAGTGGGAGGGGGGGGGGGGGGGGCGTCAGAGAAGGCCCCGACCGAGCCGCCACCTGCCCTTCAGACGGTATCGGCGGCACGGCACCGTCTCACGCGCCTGTCCACCGACAACCCGCAGCGTCCGAAATAACGTACGCTGCTACTAATGACAGCGTGAAAACAGCGTGTCGCCCGTGTCGTCGCCGCCCCCGAGGTATCATGGTTTGAACACCAGCGCCAGCACGCAGCGCGTTGTTGGCGGACGCGCTCGTTCCGAACCCAATGTCAAATGGGTTACTTTCGTTGAACACAAGTCTGAGTATACATTTTGCTAGGATAGCACTTGAGTTACACACCAAGCCCTGCACAGTGCGACGCCACCACCATGACCACACTACCCTAGTTTAGTCCCATTTTAACAAAAGAGAACACCCATGAGCCGACAGAAGATAGTTTCAGCCAGTTGTAACGCGAGCAGCCCGGTTTTGGTGGAGCGAGGGAGTTCTCCGAGCGGACGCGGCCGACGGCGGCCAGTGCGCCGGCCGGACGGACCTGCAGCAGCCGGTCGGACATGCCACTGGTCATCATCCAGTTGTACAGGGCCACGTGCAGCAGCTCGTCGGAGGAGGCGAGCACCGCCTCGATCACGAGCTCGGCTCGGCGCCGCGCCTCCTGCGGCTGGTCGGCCGGCGCGGCCAGCGGCGGCGGGCCCGGCCGCGCCGGCACCGGCGACTGGCGCTGGCCAGACTCCGCCAGCGCCTTCAGAGACGACAGCATCTTCATCACCTCGTTGTAGCACTCGAACCTGCCGCGAACACGGGCAACATGTCAGCCGGAACAGCACGGCCAGCACCACGTCGTTTAACACCGTCCTGCCGCCCCGTGCCTACCGTGACATCACGACACAGGGCACGGGCCCCGAGCGTGAACCCCGACTCCGAATGTTCGCCTTGGCGTTTTGAGCCCTCGTCACGACCAGGTGTTCTGCATTGCTTGAGGCCGAACACACCAATTTGGCTGCACGTGCGTCTGAATACCAGGGGCGTATGCCATTCCAAGTACCAGGACCATCATCCCGAGTTCTGAGGCATTGAGTTCGGGTCTGAGTTCATCCGTCCCGCAGCATGTATATGCCCGTCCATTCCACAACACATGAACTCGGGGGCTGTGGCACGAACTTTCTGAAGGCCGGCAGGCTAGAATTCATAATGGGGTTCCACTGTATAGAGGAGCCTCCACTGCACCGACAGGCCTCAACAGGCTACGGTTATGTCAATGTTTCATGCATGACCTTGTTTAAGCCCTGCCGCTGTTTTGTAATGCAGTGCTCAATTTCAAATGCATGCTTCCTGGGAACAATGATGACGTCCCTTTTTCACAAAGACAGATACCGCTGCAGCGCAGTTGAGCCAAGATTTCTGGGAATCAGTGTGGAAGCACAATCAAGCAGGTATCAGCGCGTGTCAGCACAATGCTGACGCCTGCTTGATTATCGGTACAAGCACAATCCGTATCGGAAGCACAATCAAGCAGGTATCAGCGCGTGTCAGCACGATGCTGACGCCTGCTTGATTATCGGTACAGCGCCAGTGTTCATATAGTCTCATTATTTCATCAACACATCACAATTATGGATTCCTTTATTAGTGGTGTCTTCTCTGTCGCGACAGAAAAATGTCACGTCTCAGGACGAGTCGATAGGTCACGCCCTTATACCTCGGATTTGAACGAAACTCGGTTACAACGGCAATCAATAACGGCGAACACCCCGTCACCCCTTCAAGTCTCCCAGTTCAAGCGTTTCCGGTTCATACCTTCTGCAGTTTCCTCTTTGCAGTGGTTGAACGCTAAGAAATGCCAGTCACTAACTCACGAACCAACGGGTGCATACACAATATTTTTGTGGAGAGGTTAGATGGTAGGTGAGACACTTTGACATGGGGAGGGAGGGGGTGGGGGGGGGGGGCATCAGAAACAACCATGGGGCTCTAATGCCCTTCCTCACTGCCGGGGGCAGCAGCTGTACACCCGCAAAAAAGCTCTAAAAGCTCCTAATCCCGAACTCCGCTGTGTTTCAGTGAGATACCCTTAGTCAGATATATTATTTTCGCGCCCGTTGATGTGGAGTTTGCCACAGCGGGGGTGGGACGAGGATCACTGCGTGTCTATGAGGGTTACTTTCCACGAAGAGGACCACTTTTGGTTACCTTAGGCATTTTATGAGTTCCAGGAGACGGTCGGAAAGATACCAAATTCATCGGAAAACACTCTATTGGTAAGACATCATCTATTAAAACCATCCCAAAACCACCCATTATGCAATCTCATTATGCAATCTCAGCTACGCAATCTCAGGGCTCATTGCCTGATTTCTAAACATGGTTTGTCCATCATATACCACGTGCATCGTGTACACGGTATTGCGGGTGGATTGTGCCACGTTCGTCGTGTTGTGGGTCCTTCGTATTTCGTTCCCAGATATAATTCAAATACTCAGATCAGCACATCATTATAGCACTTATTTTCAACATAACCATCATTAAGTAATTCTAACAGCCATCATCATAACGAGGGCGCCACAATCGGTATCAATTCTCCGCACACAGCATAAGCCGAGGGCAACAACACATATTTTCATCCAAAGTAAATTATACTGTGAGTATATAACAAAAATGTTCCAAGGGAGTAAACTCAACATGTTACATGTAACTTGGCGAAGTAACTGAAAGGTCATCAGAGTGATGAGAGTGGCTGCAAGTGCCTTACGGAACCGTTCCACATTGGAGGACTGGTGACTTTATTCCAAGCCATTCATTTGGCGTGATTCAGTGCGCCCGGCAGTGCTGCATCAATTCAAGGTTTCGTTAAAATCCGCTGCGTTGATGATTATTGTGTTAATGTTAACTTATCGTACGAATTCGGGTCCTTTGACGACCTCCGACTGAACTCCAGACCGCCACATGCAGGGCAACCATACAAATCATGACCATGAGAAGGACCCCAAGGTTTCCAGAAGACTCGATTTTTAACCTGATTCACACTCACCCGGGCTTGAGCCTGAGTCCGCGTCTCCGCTCCTTCAAAACTGCTCATATAACGCTGACTTGCCTGCGAAATCAACCGTTTCATTTGATCCGCGTTCCAAACGATCGCGATGCGGCGCTGGCTCCCTGCCGTCCCGAACCGGCCCCCGCCGGGGCCAGCGGGTTTGTACCTGGCTTTGAAGGCCTGCCCGCCCTGAACGTCATCAGGTGGCTCTCCCGCGCGGTAGTAGTGTAGCGCCGCGTCCTGCACATCACGCTTCTCGGCGGCCGCCAGCACCAGCTCCACCACGCCCTCGTAGTCGTGCACCGACTGCAACGGACGACACCCCTCAGGCACGCCCCCTGCGGCGCTAGTCAGACGGAGATTTGCGCCCCGTGGTCCTGCTATTGGAGCATGTCGTGAAGGGAAAAGATCAGGGCCCGCAGGCTAGCCAGGTTGTTAGTAAAGCAGCATAACAAGGCACTCAAATATTTTGACGTGCGAATGGCTTAAGCACGATATTCTAAGCATGTTTCGGCTAAGTACTTGATGTGCGAATGGTGTAGGTACGACATTCTAAACATGTTTCGGCTGAGTACTTGACATGCGAATGGCGTAAGTACGACATTTTAGGTATGTCTCGGCTGAGTACCTCACTCCATGGTTGAGCTTATTCTAGACAAGGAATGCTGGCCACATAACGGATATACGAGGCGAGACGCACCTAAACTAATTGTTTTGTAAGGAACAGTTTGCTGGCAACGCAACAAACGGACGCCAAATAATGTAACAATCCAATTTGGGTAATGCATTCTTCTGGTCTGTGATGACTGCCACATTGTTACACAACTTACATGTTACAAGAAAATACATGACTTCACCAGCCAAGAGAACGGCCGTTTTTTCACGACCCAAGCTTCCCAGTCCGCGTGCCGCGCCAGCAGTGCGGTATTCTGGCCCCTAAAGCAGCGCCGCAGCCGCGATACAAACCGCTGCAGCGACCGCGCCGCAGCGCTCCCCCACCTGGAAGTGCTGGCAGACGACGGGCAGGTTGAGCTGGCCGGCCACCTGCTTGGCCAGCCTGAGCGCCTCGCGCACCAGGCGCTCCCGCTCGGCCGCGGAGGAAGCGTCGCGCGCCGAGACGAGCATCTCGGAGGCGCGCGAGCTCAGCTCGTCCTCCTCGCGGTAGACGGCGGGCGCCAGCCTGCGCAGCTCCGCCGACACCGCCTCCGTGCTGGCGTTGTCGTTGAGGTAGCGGCCGATGAGCGCGTTCACCAGCTGCGTGCACATGGCGCGGCCCGACAGCGTGAGGTCGCGAAGCGTCATCAGCCGCAGCGCCGACTGGTCCTCCTTGCTCAGAGCCTCGGTCACCGCCGTCGTCTGGTGGTCGGTGATGATCTTCAGCAGGCCCAGCACCTGCCGGGAGGGGGGGGGGGGGTGGGATGACGTCACCGCGGACAGCTTCAGCCCGCGGGGCGAGGCTCTATAAACGCACAGCGGCAGCACCCGTGATTCGTGTTGCACTGCGCTGATCAATGTTGTGTTATGCCCCTGCGACACGCTTGGTCTATCGCTTTATGGTTGAGCCCGTCCTAGAGGCGAGACGCTGTTCGTTTAACGAACTCCTGCTTTGAGACCCACCTTGGAGCCGGCAGCCGTCCATATATGGGTAGCTCTGCACCGCTTCAATGCATGAGGTTTGTGAAAATTTGAGATATGCACCTTAGGCTGGCTCCGTCAGACAAGCCCTTCATTGTTTATCATGCGCTGACTCCGAAAAAGCAATATAGCACCACAACGTCTCGGTGCTTATGATGTGCTGACTCCGAATGGGCGGTACGGTATTTGAAAGTCTCGTCATGGGGCTACAATACCAGGGCGCATTTCACACACGTTGAGACTGGATACCCGTTTCCCGCAAAACGGAACTGCAGGTCCAAAACGCAGGTCATTCGATGCGCAGTTTCAGGCTACCGCTGGCCGGGCGGGAGCACGGGTCGGCGCCTCTGCCCCGCCGTCCCTCACCTGTCTGGTGTAGTCGACCAGCTCAGCGAGGCAGATCAGACTCTGACGCTCGGCCGCCTGCGCTTGCTGGCCGCGGCCCAGCTGAGGCCGCGCGGCGCCGCCGCCACCACTGCCCTCTTGCGGCAGGAACGAGTTCATCCGCTGCTGCAGCTGCTGCGTGCTGACCGTGTCCACGTACGGCGGTGAGAAGATGAGCTTGTGCTGCTCCATGAAGCGGGAGAGTCGTTGCAGCTGTCCGCACAGCCAGTCCAGCTCCTCAGAGGTGGCCGCCGACAGCAGGTGCAGCTGGCCGGGCCGCGGCGAGAACTCGCGCACTACGCGGCTGGCCCACAGCGGTCGCAGCAGTCGCGACACGTACAGGTACAGTCCGTCGTGCTTGCCGGAGAAGAGTTCGACGGGCGCGGCCAGCGAGGCGTCTGCCGAGAGCGACAGCTGCGGCAGCTGCGACGGCGGCCCGCGGCCCGGCTGCGGCGTAGACATCTGCTGCGGGTGGAAGCCGCCGAGCAGGCTGGTCGAGTGCAGCGAGGCCGGCGAGACGGCCGGCGCCGGCGCCGCCCGCGGCTCGCCGCCGAACCGGAAGAAGGCGCGCGCCGCCCAGTCGGCCACCCGGGCGTCCTGCGGCGCGTCCGAACACGCCAGAATCAGGCACGCCGCGCACGCCTGCGGCTCGGAGTGTAGCACGAAGAAGGCGCGCACCGCGTCGGCGTCCGGCCGGCCGGCGTCCTCCTCCAGCAGCACGCGCAGCTGGTCCACCGGCCGCAGCTGCTCTAGCACCTGCACGCCGCGCGACGAGAGCGCCACGTAGCGGCGCGGCAGGCGCGCGTGCTGCGTCACCACCAGCGGCGGCTGCGGCCCGTCGCCGGCCTCGGACCGCATCAGCTGCCGCTCGGGCAGCGGCTGCAGCGCCCACGTGTGCCCATCGAGCGGCAGTGTGCTCTGCAGCTCCGTCAGTCGCGGCGACACCGGGAAGGCGTCGCCACTCAGCAGCCAGAGCACGTCCAGGTCGTCGGACTGGGCTGCCAGCAGCAGGCCGGCGCCGGCCGCGTACCGCGCCATATGCAGGCCAGCCGGCCGCTGCGGCGGCGCATTGGCCGCGAAGCCCGGCGGCAGGCGGATGTGGCACAGCTGCAGGGTCACGGGCCGCGAGCCGGCGCCGCCCGTGCTGAAGTACAGCCGCACGCCCGTCTGCGTGGTCACCACCAGGTGCACGAGCCGCGACTCGGCCGCCGTCACCGGCGACACGTCGATGATGGGCCGGAAGTTGGACGCGTCCACCGACGAGGCGATGCCGGCCGCCGCCTGCGCGATGGAGAACTGCGACAGCGCCGCCACGCGCACCGTCTGCTGGCCGTCGGCGCCCAGGTCGTACACCTGCACCGTGCCCTTCTCGGAGCGCGTGTAGAGCACATTGCGCGACTCGTCGACGACCAGCTGAATCAGGGGGTCCTCATCCGAAAAGGCGGCCGCCAGGAAAGTGGGCACCAGCACGGACAGCGCGCTCGACGAGTGATTGATCTTGCGGCAGCGACGCGAGAACCAGCTGTCGGTGGCCTGGTACACCAGCTCGTACAGGCAGCCGTCTTTGGCGCCCAGGAAGACGCGGCCGGCCGGCGTGCCGCCGCTCGTCGTCACGTAGGCGCCGTCGCTGGCGATGGCGAACAGCGGCTCGGGCAGTACGTGCATCTCGGCCGGGCCGGCGGGGTCGCGCGGCCGGCCCAGCGTCACGCCCAGCAGCACGATCTCCAGCGGCGTGGCCAGGCAGAGCAGGTGTTGGATGTGAGACTGAAAGACGCCGGGCCGCGGTCGCACCATCGCCACGCTGAGGATGGTCTCGCTCATGCCGTCGTAGTAGGTGAGGTCGCCGCCCGACTCGAACAGCCACACGTATATGTCGTTATCGATAGTGAGCCAGGCGCGGTTCAGCTCGGGGAACAGGCCCATCATGCAGTTGCACTGCAGGTGGTTGAAGTGCTCCACCAGCTCGGCCGGCAGCGGCACCTTCTTCTGGACGGCCAGCTGCTTGAGGCGGAGGCCGCCCAGGCTGGGATAGTCCGCCTCCTGCTGACCGCTCACGGTAGGGCAGGCCTGCTGTGCGATCCGCAGCCGCTCGGCCAGGCTGGGGAACTGCGAGTCGGCCTGCAGCAGGCGGTCCAGGGTGCGGCCGGCCGACTCCAGGGCTTCCGGAGGGCCACCGCCGGCCGACATCATCGGCCGCAGCGAGAACGACAAGCCCACGGCGGGACTGGCCGGCATGGCAGCAGCTGTGACCTAAAAGCAAACATCATCGACTATGTGACCAATGTTGCATCCCTGTGTTATGCTGTGTGAACATTTGGCAGCCCACTGCACACTGCACCATCTCAGATGGAACAAGAACATTTTGCTTTATACTTATTTTGAAGATTTAAATTGCAAAAACAACAGAGATCCAGTGCCCAGTTCTCGCTCCAGCCAATTTTATATATCATACAAAAGCCTGCGACACCACCACTTTGATCTGGCCTCAGCTTGTGTGTGCATGTTGAGGCATACATACAATCAAGTAAACATCTCTCAAGCAACATCAATATTAACTATTTTGAAACATAAATTAAAACATCAAGCACGAGTATGCACTTACACAGGACAATGTTGGTGGTCAATAAAGGCACAAATGAAACAGAAACTTGGATATCAAAAATGAGGATCCCTCAAACAGGACAATGTAGGTGGGTGATGGGCATGCATGCCCAAGACAACTGCCCAACCCCCATAGCATCAAAAACAACAGAAAAGCTTTCTAACATAAAGATTACTAACACAAACTTTAATACATGAGTACATTTTAGAGGTGTTCAGCAAGGCTGGTGGACACTTTCAGCTGATAGCATGCCAGAAATACTAAGACACCAGCATGCAAGACATGACAGATTTTGACAAGATCTTGTTGGCACATAGTTGAGGCAAGAATTGTTAGTTGGAGCAAGTTTTAAAAATTATGTGCCAGGAATTTCAAACTTGGGGTAGGCCACATTATTTTGGCCTACCACAAGGTACCTTGAGACAGGTATTGAGCTGGGGCGCAGATCAGATGGTACACAAAATATGATGGAATGACAGCCTGTAGAGGCATGAGATCCTTAAAAAATGAATGGGCTTTATCCACCCCAAGTGTGTCACCACTGTTTTCATTGCTGCCACCTTCTCCTGTGAGGCCCTGGATGTCATGGATTGTGCAGCACCCTTACAGAAAGATCAACTGATGAAATTGAGACACTCAAACAACAAATATTATGCAAGCACATAGCATTTTTATAGTACCAGCTTCTATTGCTTGCCCCGAGTTGCTAAGCTGCCTGCAAATGATAGCATGCCAGATAAAACTGTGTGAGCATGGCAACCCTGAAACCACACAATTTAGCTCTTTCATTGCAAAATGTTGAATGCATTTTTCAATGCCATAAATTTGATCATGTTGGAATGTAATGCAAAACACCAGGTGGTGAATTCAGCGTAATAATGGCCCCTCTCAGCATGGCAGCAGGGATAATTAGCAGGTGGACATTACATTGTACACAGTCTTTTGAGACCCCCAGTCATCAAAATAGCAGCTCCTATCCAAGCAGGGCAAATGGCTGCCCCACAAGACCAGGACCAGGCTCACCCTAGAAACCCCTTTAAATGGTATGCCACCTTCTGAAAGCTTTTCTAGATATAAACAGCAACTTAAATTGTACTCAAATTAATCTATAATCTATTAAGATCATTTTTGCCACTTTGTTAGCCAACAGCCAATCAGCACATCTCCTATCACCACCCACTCTTGATGTATCAGTTAGCATTAATGTGTTTCCATATTATATGCTGTTTATTTATATTATCTTCATATGTTTTTTTTAGTTGTATTTCATCTGATCTACAACAATTTAACACTTTGTTCAATGATTATAGTAAATACATGAGAAAATGTTATGGTAATTCAATATCTTCCTTTCAGAAGCATTGCCAAAGTGTACAATACATAACTGCAATGGTGAAATTATATCAAATTACGGCATTTTCAATGAAGTTGATCATACTGTATTATGATTATATACCATTGCATAATATGCTGCAACGATTTATGTGAAAATTAATTATAAAAGTACATGGAAAGATGAAACCCTGACACTTATAGTTATATCGCTCACACGGAAATCATTCCACAATGGGACACAGTATTTTGGCAGCACTCTTCATCCGAGACGTCACTGTAGCAAAACGATATGAAACCACTTCACTAGTCCGCTTGTCGACACCAGTATCCCGTCAAAACTGTGGTGATTCAGAACAGAATCAGAGGCACACATTCAACCCGCAAAACCGTCGACAAAGTTAATCTATTCCGCTTTAACAACTTACACTCCGCAACCTTCCCCAGCACTCTCCACCTCGTGGCCATCAACCGTAAACACCGCGCACTGGGGCAAATCAAACTGTTCTTATGTGCGAAATCGGCGCACTATTCGTAAAAACTTACGGACACGGCAGCTAAATCATTTGTGGAAACATTCCGTTAGATATGACAGCGACGAAATGCTGTGGACAGTAGTGTAGTTTACTTTTTACTTGGGAGAATTAGCTCCAGCCCAAGAGAAACAAAAAAAAACTGTCGACATCTGGAAATAATCCCATTTTTGGCGCACTTTTGGGTAGATTATGGTATTTTTATTGGTCAGTCCCCTTCCCTTCCCATCCTGAGAAAATACGTTCGTGCATGGGGATCATCTCTGAGTCAAAGTTAGTATGACACACCCAGTGTGTTTGTGGGGGGGGGGGGGGAGAGGGGCGGCTCTAGAAGAGCTGGATCCTGAGCTAGGTCATCGGGTATGAATAGGACAGAATATGCCACCAAAAAAACATAGGGGAAGCCGTCAGGAAAGGGTCTGGTCCGGTTGCCACTCGGAGCTATGCCCAGGAACCCCCCCACTAGTCGGTAAATATACCGTATAAAGTGAGTCTCATTTTCAGTTTTGGGAATACCATTTGTGACTTTCAAGGACGACCTGTTGTTATTCAGATCCTGTTAGACCCGAGACGGGTGCTGGTCTATGAAGCTTTTGAATCTCAGTGATCTATAACAAGGCCTATGTTGGTGGAGGCGTTATGATCAGGGGCGGATCCAGGGGGGGGGGGGCACGGGGCCATGCACCCCTCCCTTGGATCCCAAAGGGCTCCATTGGCTCCGAGGGGTCCATCGCCGGCCGAACAGATGCAATTTTTTTAACACAAATCGCAACAAAACTGGATATTTCTGAACTTCCAGACCACCAAGAGCAGTTGAAAGCGAAAGTGAAAGGCCTATGAGAAGTTTAAAAAAATCGATAGTTGGAAAAGTTGTGAACTGGAAATTTTAAGCCCCATTCCACTGTTTAGGGACCCATATTGTTTCTGGGAGACCTATATGCCCACTTGCAGGATCATTTCGATAGTTAAGGAGCATTCTACGTTGCCCTTTATTTCTTTGCATTTGCTCTGGGGCCCTACACTGTTGTTGGGGCCCTTCCCGCTAGCGTGCCGGGGCACTCTTGTCGATAATGGACTCTTCCACGTGTTCTTTCCATTCGCCAGAAAGGCTCTGCGGGCTATAGTCGGGGTCCCATATTTAGGCCTGCCGGGGTATTCTTGGTTGCTCAGGGACCCTTAAAGTGGGTCTCAATTAACCTACCGACACACTTCTGATATCCTCATGGGTCCTCTTCATTGGTCTAGGGCGCTCCCAATTCTCTATCACTTGCTTAGGGCCCTGCACTCTTGTCGGGGGCCCATCTGATGGTCTGCCTGGGCACACCAGTCATTCAGGGACGCTTCGCACTGGTATTTGGATGTTTCTTTTCTCAATAGGGGCCTGCGCTTTAGGGGGGGGGGGGGCTATCTGATGACCCGCTCGGGCACATTCAATCGTTCGGGGGCCTTCTACATTGGGCCTTGGGCACGTGCTCTTTGGATGGGACCCCACGTACTCGTCGGCGTCCCCCTGTTTGCCTCCTCGGCCACATTGGATTTCTGGGGGGAGGGGTCCTGCACATTGGATCTTGGTGTTTGAATTTAGGGCCCTCTGCCCCTATCCGGGCTATCTGATAACCTGTACGGGTACACTCCATCTTTCGGGGGCCCTCCGCACCCGGGGTTTTGGGTACTTCTTATTTGAATGGAGAGCCTTGCGCTCCTAAAGAGGCCCCTTCTGATAAGCTGCTCGGGCACATTATATCATTCTGGAGCCATTCGCATAAGGTCTTCGATGCTTTCCATTCGAATGGAGGGCCCTACGCTCTTGTTGGGAGCCCTATTTGCTAACCTGCTCGGGCACACATTCATTTGGGGACGCTCTTCATTGGCTTTTGGGTACTTCCTATTGGAATGGAAGGCCCTGAACTCTTGACCGGGGCTCTATATGTTAACTTGCTCTGACGCACTGGATCATTGGATCATTCGGGGATAAACTGCATTGGGTCTTGAATATTTCCTATTTGAACGGAGGGCCCTACGCTGTTTTTGGGAACCGTATCTGTTAACCTGCTCGGCACACTCGATTATTCGGGAGCCCTCTCTATTGGGTCTTGGGTACTTTCTATTTAAATGGAGGGCCCTATGTTCTTGACGGGGACCCTATATGTCAACCTGCTTGGGCGCACTCAATCGTTCAGAGCCCTACACATTGTGTCGTGAGTATTTATTTTTTGGAAGAATGGCCCTATGTTCTTGGCGGGCCCCATCTATTAAGCTGTTCGGGCCGGTAGCGGATGCAGACGGGGGGGGGGGGGGGGGACGGAGGCACAGGACCATACCCCATGGACCATGCCGAGGGGATCTGAAGGCCGGACGGACGTAGTTTTCTTACAACAAATACACAGCAAAATTGGAGGAGTTTTGACCAACAGACGACCAAGAACAGTTGTTGGCAAAAATAACGAGTTCATTAGCAGATCAAATTCATTTTTTGTTGATTGAGAAAGTGTTGCTTATGAGAAATTGTGGAGTTTGTTACGCTTTCTAAAGCCATAGGCACTGTTGGTTTTTTGGCTCTATATGTCCACTTGCAGGGTCAGTCTGATCGGTGAGGAGCTTTCCACGCTGCTCTTGATCTCTTTGCATTTTCTCGTAGGGCCCAACGTGCTATTAGGACGCTATCTGCTTCCGTGTCCAAGTAATCTTGACCGATCAGGTTTTCCTCCACGGATTCTCCCCACTCGCCCGAGAGGGTCTTTATGCTTTTTCCATGGCCCATATACCAGGGCACACTCAGTTGCTCAGGGGCCCTTCATTTAAGTCTCGGGCTCTTCCTACTTGCTTGGAGGGCCTTATACTGTTGATAGGGCTCTTATAAGGTAAGGCACGGAGGCACTCGATACCCAGGGGCCATCTACTTTGATCGAGAGCTCTCTCCCTTTGGTCTCATTTGCGGAGGACTATTCACTCCTACCGAAGCTCGTGCTGTTAACCCGCCTGCGCACTCTTGATTACACAGGGCTATTAATTCATGGTCTTAGATAATTCACCTTCACTCAGAGGGTTCTGTGCTCTGGCCGGGGCTTTATATGTCAGCCTGCCGAGACACTACCGGCCATTCATGGGCCCAACACGATGGTCTTGGTTTCTTTTTGCTTGCCCTGAGGACCCTATGCTTGTTGACAGGAGCCACTTTAGTGGCCTCCTGCGGGACCCATTCTTGCTCAGGTTTTGTCCCTATTGGCCTTGGTGCCTTCGCCTCAGAGCAGCGGCCGAATCTGCGCCGACGAATTTTTACGCGCAATTGCCGGACGTAATTTTACATGTCGCAGACGTCACATGTGTCACTGTCATTAGCTCTTGAGTGTATGACACTCGTTATACTAGTGCACCACGTTCTTGATATATTTCGAGTGGTAGGGTATGTCGTATTCCTTTATAACAGAGGAAAACATATGCACTTGTCATCAGCCGTCCTCTGATTACATCGCCCAGCCAGCTAGCCGTAAAAGCATGAGCTAGGAATCAAGTCCATGCTTAGTTTTGGTAGTTGTTAGAAGCTAACTCAAGTTTATTTTGACTGTTGTTCCGAAACACTTAACCTCAAAATCACAGCATTTACATGATTTGTAGAAAGTGAGTGAGTTATATGTGTATGCATGCGTAGCACGCCTAGCTTTATAAGGCCGTGCACAGTAAGGTGGGTTTCTGTATTTATAAAATAAAAGAATAAGTAAGTGCATACATGCACATCTACGTATATATATATATATATATATATATATATATATATATATATATATATATATATATATATATATATATATATATATATATATGTATGCATATATACATGTATATTACAAACGACTTGTCTCAAAATGTTATGGCCGAAATGCAAGGATAGTTTTTGGAAGAGGCCCGCCCCAAACTCCACCGGGCCCACAATGTTGCGTAACCCCCACCCCCTTCGACGAAATCCTGGATCCGCCGCCGGTTGTGTTCATGTCCCCTCCGTTACGAAGATCCTATGTGCGCGCCTGGGTGATGCTCATTCTTTTAGTCAATTCTCCGACGCGAGTTATCTGCATCATATCTCCGCCTCCATTGCCAGAATTATCTACCGCCCAAACTGCGTTGTGGGTTACGGTGCGCCGGAAGGAGATCGGTATTGAGCCATTACCGCTGATCCCCTTGGATTATATATCTACGATGGCAACATATTTCAGAGGGTCGTGTCCATAGATGTACAGGATATTTATGTTTGTATCCTTTCTGTCTTATCCTTCCTTTCTATCAAGCGCGCTCACGCTTCAGATTAGCAGATTTTATTGACGTCATAGACAGGGCGAGGCCAAAAATTTAGCTGGTTCAGCGAGAAAAAAATCCACGGAAACCGTCCAATGTTTCTAGTGGATACTTCTACCGAAGCCAGCTGTCCAACAGCCTGCCGGCTTTTAAATTACATGACGTCATTAAATACGCCACTGGAAACCGTAGCCTCTCATGCTCTGCTTGATCTGTAGGAAGCCAATCACTCGCTGTACCACTGTTTTGAGTCTCACAGTTTATGTGGTTGGGTGGGTGCAACGCTCGCGGGTGGGCGCGGACAGTAGGTGCGTAATTAAGTGGTGTGGGGTACAGGTCCAAGTGGTAGGTGTGGTAGTGTGGGGGAGGGTTGATGGTCGGAAATCCCCGACCAATGAACAGCAGAAAAGCAAGCTTTTCGAAGCCAGGTTCTGGGCAAAGGCCTTCGTTTTGAGTGTGTGCGGTGAGAAGTGTGAAAAACGCTTCGGCGATGGCTTTAAAAACGGTTTGGTCATGAGAAGCTGAAGCCGTGAGTTAAGAGGTCAGCTTTGACGCGGTAATTACTGTGATACTGTTGTAAAAGCGGCAAGAAGCTGCCCGTCTTCGAAGCATCTTCGCGGGTGTCGCCTGTCCGGCATTCGTTGGAAGTCAAGGTAAATAGCGGCATGTCAGATAGTGATGTGGAAGTAAAATATAACAAAATGTGAACAGTTTTTGCACATGCGCCTCATCCATTTAGTTGTGAAGTTTTCCATGAGAAGTGCCATTTGTCTGGGTTTTGTGTTAAGACTATCATCCTTAGTGTCATAAGTAAACTGTAAGCCTTTCTGCAAAATTCTCCACTGTGCCAGATGCCTACATAACTTTGGTTTGATGAATTTTATGATTATGTGTGGTGAACTTTTTTAGGGTAAATAATGCTAAATTTTGACTTATTTGTGTGTGAAAAATGTGGTCTTAACTTTTTGTCTGTGATTGCTGTCCCTGAAACCTTAGATTCCTGTGCATTGAGGTGGTGGTCAGGGTGCATTTGATTGCTCAGACTCAGTGTGCATGCACTGCAATTTTTGCCTCCATGAGGTTATTCTGCACTGCTGGTCCCATGCTGTGTACCTTACCCTTCCCTACCTAATGGTGATCAGAATTATAAAAGTCCACTAAGCGGTCTCGTCAGGCTGGTGGTCCGGTAACCAGTCTTAAATTTTGGATAGATTCAGTGTGGAATGTTATATGACATGTGAGCCCAGTGCATATCAAGCCTAGACTTAGCTGTTCAATGGAGGTTGATGGTGGAGGAAGGTTTCAATCATTGACAACCCATGTGATGGTGGAGAGGAGTCCTACCTCCAGGCTTTCTTAGCTTCTATTGGCATCCCCTTGTCACCTCCGAGCCATGTCATATCAGGAACTGTCTTGTCTTGTGCACCTTGGCAGTCAGGCATACACGGTGCTTCAGCCATTTACTTTTGGTCATCATTAGGTGTTATATAAGAGTTTGCCCTTCCTTGTTTTCCCAGTTGCCAGAGAAATGGGCTCACGATCTAGTCTGGAGACTGTGGCTTGAATCCCAGCAGTTCCAAGGGGATAATTTTGGCCATGATGCATGCATGATCAAAAACCAAACATCCGGTTGTTCTCGGGCCTGCATAACCTGGGACAACAGACTGGTGGCTGTTTGAAATCATGTCCAGATATAAACTTGTGGGTTCACTGGACAAGGATTATGTCCAAAAAAATATTTGATTGGTAATGGCAATGTAGCTATTATTTTTGAAGCTATTATATTAATTTGGAATAGTTATTCAGACTATTTTGCATGTCATTAGGGCCTTTCACACAACATTTAAATTGGTTATTTCTTCAGCCATTTTAAGATGTTCACACTTACTTTCTCAAAGCTATAATGCAGAACACATGGGCATGTGAAAGTGAATGGATGGTTCGAGGCAGGGTGTAAGTATGCATCACATAATTAGTTCAACTTCTTAATGGAAAAGTGTGATGCCTGACATATACTCAGTAATGCTCAAATTGAAATCCAGGAGGACTTGCTTCACATTTTGTAAGTACCTAGTCCCAGTACCTTTGTACATCATGTAAAATATGCAGGCATACCAGGAACCTGTATTCAGTAAACTGCCCCCATCTTATATGCATGTGAGACAAAAGATCTGGCATAATAGGCCATGAAACATCCAACCAAATTTATCTGGGCTGCTTTAAAACAGGGCCTAGTGTGATCAGATGGGATTAGACATGAGAAGGAGGTATGTACTCTATAGAGCAGCAATAGCTGTTAAAAGGTGTGATGTCTTGGCATGATGTGACGAGACATGTGATACAAAATCTTGATACACACCTGAGCAAAAGTATTTCATAGGCTAGGGCAGACAACGAGAGGTAGTTTTCAACAGGACACTGTGGCTTCATGTGACCACACCTTATGGTGTGTTGTTAAGATGGGTGCAAATAAGTGTTGGCAACAAAATTGACCCAGATACATCACCATAAGTACATTGAAAGCATGCCATTGCCAAAAGTTGTATTTCTGCAGCACATCAACAGTTTGCAAAAATTTGTTATTTTTAATTAGCATGGGTTCTTATGGCATCATGGACCTCCCTGTAAAGTAAGGACAGTCTTGAACATGCCAATGATGTCTGTTTTTCCAAGGAAAATGAAACAGGCCAGCACAGGCCGTGTTAGCCTCCGGCTGTAATCAACATGCAGCACTTGCCAGTAGTAATCAACTTAAAAATGACTGGATGCAGAAGCTAGTTTTTCTGGCTGGTTTCATTTTGGGTTGAGATACACTCATTAGCACACTCAGTGTCATCCTTTAAAACTTTGCAGTAGCTCGGGGCTGTCCTCCCCAATGCAAAATCCTGTATGCTCCCTTTTGTGGATGTGCATACACAGGTTCAGGCTATGACTATGCACATATGAGATGCATGATGCATTATTAAACTTGTGAATGTTCATTGACATTCATGTTGAATTGGGTCCAGAGTTCGTGCTTTAAAGAGCAGAGGTGTTTCTGCTGCTCACAGAGCATTGTGATCTTAGCAATATGGATCTGCTCACAACAATATTTGCCAAATTTGGTGCCAGGGCTGTTCATGTCTGCTGGTCTACCGCTCCATGCAGTATGCTATGAAAATGGGCCACCATTTATGTATGGTACACCATGTATGGTTCATGATGTATGACCCACCATTATTTGAAATGATAGCCACCAATAATATCAAAATATCATGTGTTCGTGTGTGCTCATATTTTTTGCTTGTTTTGACATGGTTATATAGGTTATTGCCAACAAAATGTGCAACTCAGTTTTGGAAACATTTTTGGCACATGAAAACTGGCAGATGTGAACAACTGGGCAACAAACCTCAGAAGCTTTGGTTGGATCAGATATTTTGGGTTAAAAAACCGTGTTTCTTGCCTAAACCATCACACAATCCAGTTAACAAACTTTTCATAGCATACACAGAATTCTGAGACTTTTGGATGCACTGCCGACTTTGCGCCTTCTGCTATGCATTGAGTTTTAATGCAAAAATTGTTAATCATCATGTTTTGACAATGGTGACTTCTAGATGTCTGAACATAGATATGCATCATCTTGTCATATGAATGTAAATCCTTTCCGTGGGCCCACTGGTAAGGGAAGGTGTCGAGAGCTTTTCTTGATGCATCGAGCCATCATGCTTTCTCACACCTTACAACGTCACAAAATTGTCCAACCTTTTCGGTTGGAGTCCCCTAAATTATTAGATCATTTAGAATACATAAGTATACAAGTTGATACATCATGAGCTTGATGGCGTCCGGCCCGCCGTGGGTGACGGAGCTCTCCTGTTTGGAAGCGCCACCATCCGCTGCGTGATGGAAGTGACTGACGAGCACTGGCCCGTCGCTGGAGCGGCGCCACGGGGCACGCGCGTCAGCCCGGCGCGGCGCCGCTGCTGACGCGGTGCGGCCCGGCCCCATCGCCGCTGCGCACCGGAAGCAGACCGCCGCCGGACGAGGGGGCCGCTTTGTGCCGGCCGCGGCCGGCGCCGACGGCAGATGGCCTCCTTCCGCTGCCGGTAGCCGGCGGGCATCTGGGTCAGACGCGGCGCAGCCTCCGGCCCCGCCCTTCACCGATGGCCGCCGTGTACAGCCACGCTCGGACGGGTCGCGTCCCGCCCGCACCGCCCCCTCCGTCCGCCGCTCGATCGGGCCCGGCTCCGGTTGCCGGCGGTATTTGTCGCCCCCGGGCTCGGTCGGGATGGGGGAAATGGATTTGGCGATTCCATCCAGACGGTCGTTGGTTGGTTGGCACGCGTTGGCGCCAGATTGCTTATTCTCGCTGGACTACTGAAAACGCTGATAATTAGCTGATAGAGACGCAAGGTCGTTGGCACGAGTAAACGGTGGCATAGGAACTGTGGCATTCATGAGGACAAACTGTGTATGTAATCATAACACTTCTGCTCCCTGAAATAAATCGTCCAAATCACATGCAGTCTTGTAAATTTTAATGTTGCAGCTTTGTGGGGACCTAAGAAGTCCCTGTAAACTTTTGAATCAGTGTAGAACGTAGAACCCAGAAGAAGGAGTTGCGATAAATAACGTCATTGAACGGAGAACGAACATCACATTGCAACTAGCTGCACCGCATACCGGGTTTAAGACCGCGTCGACGACCGTGACCTTTTGCGCTGCATCCCAGCCGTGGTGTGATCGTTATCGCAATGCGAGGCCCCTGCACTTCGTGCTGTGAGACATCCCTCTCCGACGCTGCTCCGCAGCAGGGGCGGATAAAGAACTTACGAAAATTGGGGACACGTACGCTTGGTACGGCGTATGACGGGTTTGGTGGGCAGGTTAAGCACGAAGCATTCATGCATTTGCGATCTTAAAAAGGCTAGTTTGGTGGTGTTTATTCCTGAAAGCCTTCCAGAACCGTCAGCCAACATTTAGGAGTGCTCGCTGTAATATATACTCACCTTGTTGCCGCGCCTTGCGGGCGGGCAGAATGAGAAGAAAAGAAGATATGACGTCTGGTGGCAAGTGAGCTGCGGACGCGAGACGCTTAAGAACTGTAATTCTCGGCTTTTCCCTGAATGTGCAATCAGTGGCATGTGCGAAGACGCCTTTTCCCAACGAGGCAGTCCAACCGGCAAGCTACTTTACCAAGCTTCCGACATGTGTGTCATGCTTGTCCATGTCCCCTGAGGGAACGAGGTTTCTGGCGCGGCTCTTTTATGAGATGCCTATGTGGACGCGGGCGGCCGTGTCATGTGACGGCATTATGCGTCGCAATGTGTGGGCGCAAATCATGCGATCAGCGAAAATTGCTTTGGAGTTGCTGGGGTCACGGTAAGCTTTGCTCAGATACGACGGTTTTCAAGCCAGTCCTGGAGAGCTCTGCTGTGTTAAAAATGTTGAATACGTACCTGCCGCTCAGCCAAAAAACTTCAGCAGAACATCAAATCCAGGCAGCCCAGATCCTCGATCCCGGACCATGAAATGCGTCTTCCGCGAATGGACGCGCGTGTGCGTTATTCCCTGTGAACTGTGTTTATAGTTACCCTGTGCCAGGGCAGCCGCTGCGCTGCAGCAGCGCAGTCGCCCGGCGTGAAATGTTCGCGTTCTGAAGTGAACG